GCCGCAAAGGCAGCGGGGCCCGGGCCGGCCCGGCGGGCAGCAGGCGCTGGCGGGCAGCAACTCCCAGCGGGGAATCGGTGCCGGAGAAACCCTCGCGCACAACCGTTCCCTTCCCAGGGCGCGGGGAGGGACGGCCTTCCTAAACGCACCGGTGTCAGCGCCGGTGCGGAGCGCCCGAGGACAGGAGCGTCTGCGATCTGCTCCCCACCTCGCTGAAGAGCCCTCCAGTTGCAGGGGCTTCAGGAAGTCATTCCCATCCACGCTGCCCGGCACCCGGCCCGGGCATCTTCCCTTTCACTGTATGGGGATATTCTTCAAGCAGGAGGAAAGCTGTGGTTACAGGGCCCAAGGAGGAGAGCATTGAAACTGAATAGCAGAACCAGGAGCATCCCTCGGGCCTGCCCATGCACGTCAGCAAAGGAAATGCCAAACATTTTCCAGAAAAAACTGTCACATGAGCGGGGTGAAAATGGATTTTCACATGGCTCATCTGGAATCAAGGCAGTATCTGTCCTACCAACAGCTTCTTCCTAGCGAGACACTATTCAAGATGACTACAGGCCTCGACAGAGCAGCGATCTTCTCTCGGGTGATTCAGCATCTGTCTGGAAACGCTAGTTACAAACCCCAATAGCCAAGACTTGCAAGCGGATGCGGAGTATTTCATCACGGCCTTTGAGTTACACAGAAACATTTGGCTTGAGAGAAAGAAAATGAGACACACAGAGCCCCAAAGCATCCCTGGCACTGCTTGGAGATGATATCACACGCACAGCGGCTCCCTGCACAGGCAGCAGTCCCAGCTCAGGCACAGAGCAGGAAGGCGAGACCGGGATGAGCCGGAGCTCCCGGGAGCCCTAACGGAGGACAGGGACGCACCGAGCTCTGCGCATTCCCCTTCCCAGGCAGCCGAGATTACAGCGCACGTCACACGCGTTCAAGGAGGACCTTGGCCGTCACTCCCCCAAGAGCACACAGCTGCCGCGGGGGAAAAAACAACCACAACAAGAACCCCTACAGCATGGCAGACAGCCCGGAGTCAAACCAGCCTCCAGGTTGGAGCTGCCTCCGATCCCAAGGACGGCCGCGGAGCGCTCCGTGTTGACGCGGGAGGTTACGGAGCTGCACAGCAAGGGGCTCCGAGGCGCTTTCCCGCGAAGGGCCGCGCCGCCTCCCCC